TGCCTGGGGTTGTTGTGACCGAAGTGCAAGACCCTGCACTTGGCCTTATTGAACCTCATCCCGTTGGTCTCAGCCCATCCATCCAGCCTGTCGAGATCCCTCTGCAGAGCCTCTCTACCCTCCAGCAGATCAACAGATTCTTAGGGAAGCAAGGAGGGGAGCCAGCACAGCTGCCATCGTGGACTTCCAGAGGGCAGACTTTGGTCTTTTCAAGAGTCTGCTTGACTCTGAGTCCATTGGGAGGCAGCCCTGAAGGGCAAAGTAGTCCAGGAAGGCTGGACGTTTTTCAAGGAGAAAGTCTTAAAAGCGCAGGCACAGTCCATCCCTGTGCGCAGTAAAGCGAGCCATCAGGGGAAGAAACTGGCCTGGCTGAACAAAGAAATAAGGTCACAGCTCAGGGAAAAAGGAGAGTTTATGGCCTTTGGAAAAAGGGGCAGGCCACTCAGAAAGATTATAAAGGTGTAGCAAAGTTATGCAGGGAAAAGATTAGAAAGGCCAAAGCCCGGCTAGAACTGAACCTGGCCCTGGATGTTAAAAACAATAAAATGAATTTCTATAAATGTATTAATAGCAAGAGGAGGACTCAGGAAAGCCTCCATTCTCTATTGGATATGGAAGCAACGTAGTGACAAAGGGTGAGGAGAGGGCTGAGGTACTGAATGCCTTCTTTGTGAATTTCTATAAATGTATTAATAGCAAGAGGAGGACTCAGGAAAGCCTCCATTCTCTATTGGATATGGAAGCAACGTAGTGACAAAGGGTGAGGAGAGGGCTGAGGTACTGAATGCCTTCTTTGCCTCAGTCTTTAGTAGTGGAGTAGGATGTCCCCCGAGTACCCAGACCCCTGAGCCAGCAGGTAGGGGTGGGGAGCAGAATGAAGCTCCCATAATCCAGAGGGAGGTGGTGAGGGACTTGCTCCAAAACCTAGACCAGATGATTCACCCGAGGGCACTGAGGGAGCTGGCAGAAGTGCTTGCAGAGCCACTTTCCATCATTTACCAGAAGTCCTGGCAAACTGGGGAGGTCCCAGCCAACAGGCGTCCTTCTGCACCCGCAGTAAATTTGCAGATTACACCAAGTTGGGTGGGAGTGTCAACCTGCTGGAGGGTAGAGAGGCTCTGTAGAGGGATCTGGACAGGCTGGATCGATGGGCTGAGACCAATGAGATGAGTTTCAACAAGGCCAAGTGCCAGGTCCTGCACTTGGGTCACACCAACCCCATGGACGCTCCAGGCTATGAGCAGAGTGGCTGGAGCTGCCTGGCAGAAAAGGCCCTGGGGGTGTTGGTGGCCTGTGGGCTGAACATGAGCCAGCAGTGTGCCTAGGTGGCCAAGAAGGCCAACAGCATCCTGGCCTCTATCAGGAACAGTGTGGTGAGTAGGACTCGGGAGGTGATAGTCCCCCCGTACTGGGCACTGGTGAGGCCCCACCTCAAGTGCTATGTCCAGTTTTGGGCCCCTCACCACAAAAGAGTCATTGAGTTGCTGGAGCAAGTCCAGAGAAAGGCAACAGAGCTGGTGAGGGGTCTGGAGAGTACATCTTATGAGCAGCGGCTGAGGGAGCTGGCGGTGTTCAGCCTGGAGAAGACGAGGCTGAGGGGAGACCTTATCACTCTCTGCAACTACCTGGAGGGAGGTTGTAGAGAGGTGGGGGTCGGTCTCTTCTCCCAAGTCACAGGCAATAGGACAAGAGGAAATGACATCAAGTTGCGCCAGGGGAGGTTCAAGCTAGATATTAAGAAAAATTTCTTCACTGAAAAGGTTATCAGGCATTGGAATGGGCTGCCCGGGGAAGTGGTTGAGGCACCATCCCCGGAGATATTCAAAAGACGAGTTGACATGGTGCTCGGGAATATGGTTTAGTGTTGGGGTGTGGTTTTTGTTTGGATTTTTGTTTTGGTTTGGGTTTGTTTGCTTGCTTGTTTTTTGTCAGAGTTAGGTTGATGGTTGGACTAGATGATCTTAAAGGTCCCTTCCAACCTAGACAATTCTGTCATTCTGTTAAGGGGGAGAATAACCCCATACATCAGTGACTGACCGGCTAAGCAGTGACTCTGAGGAGAAGGCCTGGGCATTACAAGGGATGCCCTATGAGCCAGCAGAGTATGGACACTACGAACAAAGAGAGGTGCGTATGGGGCTGCATGAGGAGGAGTGTGGGCCACCCGGATAGCCTGAGTTCTCATCCCACTCACCTCAGCACTGCTGTGGCCCCCCACACATTGGTGTGTCCCAGTGTGTTGCTCTCCATTTTGGAGAAGCAGTGAAAGACTAAAGAGTGTCGAGTGGAGGTCTGCCAAGACAGGGTTTGGGACCTAGTGCATATGAGCTGAGGGACTCAGGGTTCTTTTGGCCCAGCAGCGTGTGGGCTCCAGGCAGTGTAAGAGTAGCCTGAGAGTGCGTGAAGGGTGATTTCAGAGATGATGAAGTTGTTTGTTTTGTAGTGGCAACATGAGAAAGAAATAATGACAAAACATGCAGGTGGGGAGGTCCAAACTGGACGTGAGGAAAAAGGAGTGTCACTCACAGGGCAGTGCAGTGGTGTTACAAGTCACCCAGCGGGAGATAGAATCAGCCCAAAGTTTGTGTTGCAAGGAACATCTGGGGGGACGGAGAGATGTCACCAAAGGAAGGAAGATGCTGAGGTGAGAGCAAGGTGCAGTAGCAGGGGGGATGTCTACAGCCTGCAGAGAAAGAGGTGCAGGTGTGGGACACCGTAGGACAGCCTATGGTGGAGCTGAGAGAGGGGTGAAGAAAGTCTGAGAGAAGCACCAACAGAGATGAGCTCTTTCTCCCCTTGGCTCTGGCTGTTGTCTCTGCCACTGATGCCTATGAGGAAGCACCTTATCCACAGTGCCAGGGTCTCATTGCCTCCCCTTCCCCAGCCTGCGAGGTGTCGTACTGTAGTCTTGCCCTTGCCATTGGACATCCCCACATCACATTGCCCAGGAAAAGCCCTGAGTAATGTGTGAGGGACAGTATGTCCCTTCCCAGGGGCTGGGAGTCACGGCTTGGCCCTTTGGCTTAATCTAACACACCCAGGTTTACTCAGAATCTGTCCCACCTTTACAGTCCCTTTGTCTACCTGTCATCTCTGCCTACAGTTTTCTGCTCTAAGCAGCCACTGGGGAAGCCTTGTCAGTAATGGTCCTCAGTGGGACCATTAACACTCCAGGAAACTTTGGAGTTTTCATCTGACTTGAACTTCTTGAGAGTCATCTTCAATTTCCTCTCAGGGTTTGAGATTCATGGACTCGGTGCCAAACCCACCAGAGGGGTCACTAAAATGCCTTGGGCTGTTCCTCTGCTGCTGAGCTGGGCCGGGCTCCTGGGAAGGAGGGAGCTCCTGGCCATGGGGCAGCGCTGCAGAGAGACAGCTCTGCCCAGGAGCAGCTCCTCTGCCGAACGCAGCAGGGCTGGGGGCACTCACTGCCTGCAGGCACCGAGGGGAGAGGAGCGAGGCCGGGAGAGAAAGCAGTGTCCAGTGGGAGGAAAGCTGAGTGTTCTCTGGGGGAGAAATCTTCACAGCCCTTAACACAGTAAGTCTCTGGGTGCAGGCCAATCAATGCACATGAGTTCCTGGAGGGGTCTCCTAAAGCTGACATATCCCATGGATGGTGTGGAGGAGAAGAACGAGTTGCAGAGCAGGGACTCCCTGCCGCACCAGCAGAAGCTTTCTTGTGTCAGGAAGAAATGCAGATTGTGAAGGGGGGTGTGCAGCCAGGGGTGCCCAGGGCTGTCCTTCACAGCAATGTCCCAGCACCCCAGGGGTCTGTGTGCCTGGGGCAGGGACTCTGCCGCCTGCCAGGGTCAGGTCTCAGCCTACCCGGGGAGCTCCCCACAGTGTTGTGGGGAGAAGCTGAGTCTGCAAGGAGTGACTCCCAACAAGAAGTCTAGGTGTTGTATGGGTCAAGGCTGCTCACAGCTCCAGACCACCCCTAGGACATCTCCAGAGAGTCTTCTTGAAGAAGAACTTTGTGGCAGCATTTACCTGAAAGGGAAGCAGTTCGTGCTTTAACTTTTCTCCTCTTGGTTGGTAAGGTGGGCAGTGGGTGATGGGAATTTATTTCTCGATTATGGAGAAGGAATAGAGACCCCTGTTTTCATTACACTTACCTGAGCTGCTCTTTTTCCCTCTGCATACACAGAGATGGCCCTTGGCCTCCCCAGCTGCCAGAAGGTGTCTGCAGGGCAGAGCTGAGCCCCCAGCAGGTGAGATGCGGTCTGTGAGCACTGACAGGAGGAAACCTGGGGACAAAGAAACAGCTCCTGGCAGGGACAGCCCCAGGCAGCAGAGACATGGGCAGGGAGGGACAGAGAGGTGTTTGCAGAAATATCATGGGAGGGGGAATTTGAGCACCTTCCTGCCACCTCCTGCAGTGCCTTGGCCAGAGGTAGCCCCTGATCTCCTCTCCCACCCAGCACAGCCTCATCCACAGGGCCACAGGTCCAGGGCAGTCAACTCCTTGGCAGCTGGATCTCCAGTCTAGGAGAAATGCACGTGGCCTGCAATCGATGTACAACAAACAGGCTAAAAATGGGTGCCCTACATGGTCGCTGTCTGGGAGGTGGAGAGCTCACATGGATAAGGAGATGACTTCTCTGCACTCCATCTTCGTTCTCCTCCTTGCTTCATTTCCTCAGACCACAGACATAGTGTTCCTTGTTTCCCCACCCGTGGGTCATACTCTTGCTCTTGGTGTTAGGGTGAAGGTTCACATTCAGTTCTACTCTGACACCAGTTCTGGGCTCCTACACCAGAGCATAGCTCATGGAAATGCTCATGGAAAACTCATAGGTGCCCAAGCTGTATTTTAAATGGTGAGACACCATGTCATCCAGTGTGTAGGGCTGGGGAATGAATGAATGGGTTAAATTCTCCTTCAGGTCATGGGTAGGGATTGCTATGAGAAATGACATGGTCTTTTCTTCAGAGAAGTCATTCCTAACTTTTCACTATCTTTTCCTTCTTGCATAGTGCCCCAAGCCCAGAAGAAGAAAATGTCCAACAACTCCATCACCGAGTTCCTCCTCCTGCCATTCGCAGACACACGGGAGCTGCAGCTCGTGCACTTCTGGCTCTTCCTGGGCGTCTACCTGGTTTCTCTCCTGGGAAACGGACTCATCATCACTGCCATCGCCTGTGACCACCGCCTCCACACCCCCATGTACTTCTTCCTCCTCAACCTCTCTGTTCTTGACCTGGGCTCCATCTCCACCACTCTCCCCAAAGCCATGGCCAACTCCCCCTGGGAAACCAGGGCCATTTCCTATGCAGGATGTGCTGCCCAGGTCATTCTGTTTGTCTTTTTCTTATCAGCAGAGTTTTGTCTTCTCACCATCATGGCCTATGACCGCTACGTTGCCATCTGCAAACCCCTGCACTACGGGACCCTCTTGGGCAGCAGAGCTTGTTTCCACATGGCAGCAGCTGCCTGGGGCTATGGGTTTCTCAGTGCTCTCCTGCACACGGCCAACACATTTTCACTGCCCCTCTGCCAGGGCAATGCTGTGAACCAGTTCTTCTGTGAAATCCCCCAGATCCTCAAGCTCTCCTGCTCAGATACCTATCTCAGGGAAGTTGGGCTTCTTGTGGTCAGTGCCTGTTTAGCATTTGGGTGTTTTGTGTTCATTGTGGTGTCCTATGTGCAGATCTTCAGGGCCGTGCTGAGAATCCCCTCTGAGCAGGGACGGCACAAAGCCTTTTCCACGTGCCTCCCTCACCTGGCCGTGGTCTTCCTGTTCATCAGCACTGCCTTCTTTGCCCACCTGAAGTCCCCCTCCATCTCCTCCCCAGTTCTAGACCTGGTGGTTGCAGTTCTGTACTCAGTGGTGCCTCCAGCAGTGAACCCCCTCATCTACAGCATGAGGAGCCAGGAGCTCAAGGATGCCCTGTGGAGAGTGGCCGAAGGGATGCTGTTTCACCGACAATAACCTGCCTCTGCTTCTTTGCACATTTCCCAGAGTTTATCTTAGGCCACGAATCTGCTTTTTTAATTTGTGATAATCCTACTTATAGATTTCTTCTGGGTTTATACTCTTTGTTATGAGGCTTGATCCAGTTATGTCTAAATCTTGCACAGCATTGTCTCAGACTTGGCCTGTCAGATAGAGCTTTTCAATAAAAATGTGTGTCCCAGGTTCAGTGCCTGAAGGCTGGGCTATTCCTCCAGATTTCCTTCCAGAAAGGAAGGAATTGGTCTTTTAAAGAGTCTATTCTCCTTGCATTCTCAAGATTTTTGGGGGTAAGCTCATGGTACTATTGGATTCCACTGGACCAAATTATCTGGATTCAAAAGCACTCTTTTTGGTATCCCATGGAAAGGGAAATGGTCCACGAGCTCCTATTATCTCCTCAGGTGTCTTCATATATGACAGGGCTGATGGCATATACCAGAATCTCTGGCCATGAATTTGAAGATGTGAGGAGAAGATGGGGACTCACTCCATGCTGTGGGATTGGAATGAATGGAGACTCAGAAGGTGAAACACCTTTAAAGGTGAAGTCCACAGAAGTAAAGCACTGAATCGATGTGTCCATGAACAAGGACTCTGCAGTGCCAAGGGAGTCAGTGAGGACTCAGCAGGCCCAAGGAGGAGAGACCAAGGAGCTGCCTGAGGAACACCACTGCCAGGACTGTTGTGCTGTCCTGAGGTGAGGGGCTGACCTGGGGAGAGAGAGGGGCAAATTCAGTCAGGGTTGGGGACCACGTACAATATGAATTCAGGAGAGGCAGAGAGTCACTAGTCTCTTTTTCCTCACTCCTAATGGGGAGGCTGAGCTCCTTGTCTGCCCCCAGGAGCTGCTGTGCTTTTCAGAGGGTCTGGGGCTATGGGGTGAGCCCTGCAGCAATCTGTGGTGGGCAATACTGTGGGACCAGCCCAGACTGGGCTGCTGGGCTTGGCTGGGCTGGGGAGAGGGCAGGAGAGATGCGAAGAGCTGGGGAGACGCTGGGCTGGAATATGCCCGGGAGAGGAAAACACCAGCATAGATCTCATATTGTGTGTGAGAAATAATGACAAAAGTATTGAAGACCATTCCCCTCACACTTTCTCCCAGGCCCAAATTGCTCCATTGTTTCCAAGTCATCTACCCACCCCAACCCCAAGTGGAGCCGGAGGGGGTGGGTAAGAGGGGGCTGTCAGTCAGGAAAGGACATGTCTGCCTGTCCTTCCTCCTCACACTTCTTCTCCACTCAGCAGCGTGGGCCCTCTCCACGAGATCCCATAAGAGTTGCAATCAAGGTTATGTGTTTTTCATTTCTTTCTGTTGTACTTTTCTCCCTGTACTCACAGAATCATGGAAATATTGAGATTAGAAGTGACTTCTGAGGATCATGTAGTCCAACTCCCCAGCTGAGAAAGGATCAGCTAGAGCAGGATGCTCAGCACTTTGTCTGGGTGGGTTTAGAATATCTCCATGAATGGAGACTCCAGAACCTCTCTAGGAAACCTGTTCCAGTCATTGACCACCCTCACAGTCAAAAAGAGTTTTCTTGGGTTCAGATGGAGTTTTATGTACATTAATAACATCCCCCTGAGCCTTTTCTTCTCAGGACTTAACATCCTCCCGTGAAAGATGCTCCAGTCCCTTAAACCAGCTTTGTGTCCCTTTGCCAGACTTGCAATAACTTTCAATAACTTTCAAGGTCAATAACTTTCTTGTACTGAGGAGCCCAGCAATGGACACAGCACCCCAGGTGTGGCCGCACCAGTGCCAAGCAGAGGGGAAGGGTCACCTCCCTCCCTCTGCCAGCAATGATTTTCTGATGCAGCTCAGGAGCTTTAGGGACATCTCAGTCTCTATCCATTCCTTAGCATAGAAGGCAACACCTCTGCCCGTCCTTCCTTTCTTGTCCCCTCTGAACAGCTTGTAGCCCTCAATAGCCACACTCCAGTTGTAGGATTCATCCCACCAGCTTTCAGCGATGGCCACTAATTCATAGCTTTCCAGCAGCACCGCAGCTTCCAGCTCCTCCTGTTTGTTGCCCATGCTGCAGGCATTTGTGTAGAGGCACTTCAGCTGGGCTGTTGGTTGTGCCACCTTCTTAGGGGAACACTCCTTGAGGTATCTCACTGGTGTTTCTCTTTTGACTTCAACTACTCCAGGAGCTGCTGGCTCATCTCCGTAAGACTTTGACTGCAATGCAGTGTCCCCAGCGTGCATCAGGGCAACAGGCTGAAGGCCCTTACTAGCACCCTGTCTCTCTACCCCTGATGTGATACCCCACAGCTTGTTGCTGTGGGGTATCAAGCCTGATATTATTATCTCCCTCCCCCTGTAAGATCCTGGGGAGAACTAACCCCATCCCCACTGGAACCAGGACAGTGTAGTTGATGGATTTTCCATGTCTCCCTATTCTGATTATAACCATTACCTTGAAGCACTTTGGAGAAGATTTATGACAGAAAGTTTCTTCATTTCCTCTTTTTTTTTTTTTTTTTTAAATTTCACATGGATAAATAAAGAGGAGGAGAGGTTTCTACCTGGACTGAAAACTGGTGTTTTTCACCAGTATTTTCTTGACATTGTTAAATTTTTCTTAGGACTTAGAAGATCAGACCTGCTTGTAAGGAAATCTTAAATTCTTGAAGGACTTTGAGAAGAAGAGTGATGCCAATGTATGTATGTGGAATCATGTGAAATTGTTCTTTAAAAAATAATAAAAGAAAAATGTGTGAAGAGAGAGCCCATGGTAGCTGATGTCTTCTTTCCCTAAAAATCTCATGGGCAGAAGTCTCAATAGCTCCATTAGTGATGCTGTCAGTATCTTTCCTGGAGTAATTGCATTGAGTCATAGTACTAGAGGCTGAGTTTCAAAGCTTTTAGCTTGGACCTGCTGGAGAGAAGCTCTGAGGAGAAAGACCTGGGAGTCCTGGTGGACAGTAGCATGATCATGAGCCAGCAATGTGGCCTTGTGGCCAAGAAAGCCAATGACATACTGGGGGGCATCAGGAAGAGTGTGGCCAGCAGGTGGAGGGAGGTCATCCTGCCCCTCTGCTCTACCCTGTTGAAGCAATGTCTGGAGTCCTTGTCCAGTTCTGGGCTCCCCAGTTCAAGAAGGACAGGCAACTGCTGGAGAGGGTACAGCAGAGGACCACAAAGATGATGAGGAGCCTGGAGCATCTCTCTTATGAGGAAAGGCTGAGGGACTTGGTCTTTTTAGTCTGGAGAAGAGAAGACTGAGGGGGGATCTGATCAACACCTATAAATACTTAAAGGCTGGGTGTCAAGAGCATGGGGACAGTCTTTTTTCAGTGGTGCCAAGTGACAGGACAAGAAGTAATGGGAACAAACTTGAACATAAGAAGTTCCATCTAAACATGAGGAAGAACTTCTTTCCTGTGAGGGTGGCAGACCCCTGGAACAGGCTGCCCAGAGAGATGGGGGAATCTCTGTCTCTGGAGACATTCAAAACCTGCCTGGACATGTTCCTGTGGGACCTGCTTTGGCAGGGGGTTGGACTAGATGATCTCCAGAGGTCCCTTCCAACCCCATATCATTCTGTGATTTTCTGATTCTGTGTGATTCTGGACTGCCCCACACATACTGCATGGAGAAGGGAGAGACCCTGCCACACTGCAGTGCCAATCCGTCACTAGTGTTATGAGAACTTGCAACTGGCCTGTGCTGACTGAAGAGATGGGCACAGAATTACAAGGGTAAATACTTATTCCTGTGCATGAGGTGTCTGAGCTTGATTGGGGTACCTCAAATGTAGTTTACACAGGGCTCTTACACCATTCAAGCATTCAGGTACCATGTTCGTACCAATTACTAATCACAGTAAAACTTCACAAAGCAACTTTATTTCTGCAGCACCATCCGCCATTAGCCTTCTCGCTGCTTGTCTATTGCTCCAGAAGTCCCTGGAGTTGGTCTATTGTGAGTTACTTATCTGTGATGCTGGACACTGGGAGTTTCCAAGATGTGTTAGTGGGACCAGGACACTGGCATTATCTTGGTTCTCCAGGGGTATCTTTTATCCTTCATGGGCAGTTCTATGATTCTGAGAAGCAAAGTCCTTCTTTCAAGGGCAGGGCTGTTCCTTTGGTCCTTGCTGTGTTCTTTAGTTCACTTCCTCAAGCACGATAAGTCAGGACACAGTGTGAGTGACACAGATATATATCTTAAGAAAGTTAATACTTTGTCGTACTCTAAAGACTGATTGGTGTAAGAGCTAGAGAGGTCAATTTTGATAACCTTGGCTCAGGGGCTGTCTGTGGCCAGGTGGGTTCTCCAAAGAGCTGTTTCTTGGTCAAGGATCACCACTGCATGATCTGCAATGGTCCATGCCAATGTGCAGGAAGTCACGCCAAGGTGGCAGGAGGCTGGCATGGATGAGAAAGGAGCTCCTGAGTGACATCAAGCATGAAGAGGAAGCACAGAGAAGGTCGGAGCTGGGGCCTTCCAGCCTCAGGGGTTCTGTGGGTCTGTGCTGAAGAGGGCCACAAACGTCTGTGTGCTTGTCTGTGCACAGGGGAACTGGAGGGATGAGAGAATCCCGAGGCCAGCTCCTAGACAGATGGAGGGTCTAAGAGCGCTCCTGGAGGGATCCCTGCTGTCCATGTATCTATACAGGGAACATCTCCCACTAACATGGCCAAGCGTGCAAACAGCCCAACCCTCATTTCCCTTTCTCCACTGACTGTGGAGTCTCTTGGCCTGGAGACTTCCCGAGGTGCCTTCTAGGTGAGTGATTATGCATTTCCTTCCCCTAGGGCTCTTCCCTTGAGGATGCCAGGGAGAGCACTCAGGTTTCCCATGACCACAGAAGTGAGCAGACATAGGTTTGGTTCACTCATTTGCAACGTTTTTGTCCCACTCAAGTCAGTGACTCAAGGCTGGTTGGCAGGTTACCCCAAACAGGCATCATCATATCCTGAGCTGAAGTTTTGCTTTTTCTTTTGTCTCCTTTCCCATCCCAAGTTTT